TCATATACATTGTATATTGACAAAATAAAAATTTAACGAAAAAAAATAAAAAAATAAAAAAAAAAAAATAAAAAAAAAAATAGATAAATTGGACTTCATCAAGATTAAAAACATTTGTGCATCTAAGGACATTATCAAGAGGGTGAAAAGGCAACCCACAGAGTAAGAGGAAATATTTTCAAATCATACATTTGGTAAAGGATTAATATCCAAAATACCTAAGGAACTTCCACAACTTAACAACTACAGCAACAACAACAAAACAAGCAACCCAATTCAAAAGTGGGCAAAGGACTCAAATAGACATTTCTCTGAAAGTATTGTATGGCTCCACTTATATGAAGTTCCTAGAATAGGCAAATCTGTACAAACAAAGTAGAATAGAAGTTATCAGAGCTGAGGGGGGAGGGGAATGGGAAGTTATTGTTTATTGGGGGCAGGGTTTCTGTTTGGGATGATGAAATAAAATGGCTGTGATGATCGTGCAATACTGTGAATATATTTAATGCCACTGAATTGTACACCTTAAAATTGTTTAAAATGGTAAATTTTATGATATGTATATTTTTCCGCAATAAAAAAACCAAGGTAACAAATGCTCAAAAAAAAAAAAAAAAAAAAAAAAAAAAAAAAAAAAAAAAAAAAAAACAAAGGAAAAAAAGCCCAAAAAAAAAAAAAAAAAAAAAAAAAAAAAAAGAAAAGAAAAGAAAAAAGCCACCAAAAAACTCCACTGAAAATTCTATACTTTAAATGATGAATTTTAGAAATGTGAATTATATCTCAGCTAAAAATATTAATGAAATGAACTGTTGGGTAAAGAGCAACAGAATAAAAACAAAAACAATAGAAGGAAGGAAATGGTAAAGATAAGAGCAGAAATTAGTGAAATAGGAGATGAAGATTCAATAGAAAGTATCAACAAAGCCGAAAGTCAGATCTTAGAAAATAATTATAAAATAAAGAGCTTTCTTCATGAGATGATCATGATAAATAGGTGCCCTGAATCATGTTAGGAATTTAAAAGGGAAAGTATAGATAAAGTGGATAACAGAAATCTAATAATTGTATGCCAATGAATTTGAAAACCTAGTTGAAATAGACAATTTTTTAGAAAAAAATTACAAAACTGTCTCTTAATAAGAAAATGAAAACCCGAAATAAACTTTGTGTGTCCATGTATGTCCTTTCATGGCTGTAAAGCATTAACTTAGTAGTTTAAAATTTTTACCCTCCCAGAACAAAGAAACTAACCTGTACTAGATGGTTTTACATGTGTGGAAGATATAATTCCAAACATATAAAACTCTTCCAGTGATGAGATAAGTGAATATACCTGCCTTACCCACAGACAATTCATCTTATGAAGGTAGTATATAACCTTCATGCCAAAACTAGATAGACAGTATATAAAAAGGAAAATTACATCCCAATGTCATGAATTCGGATACAAAAATCTCAAACAGAGAATTAGAAAACCAAATAAAAACATGTATGAAAAAGACAATATACCATTGCCAAATTGGGTTTCTCCAGGAATGCAAGTATGGTTTACATTAGAAAATTCTACACATTTTATTAATCAGCTTAAGATATTAAAGGGAAAAGAAACCCCATAAGACCAATTCAAGAGATGCTGAAAAAAAATTATCATAAATGTTCTTCATGAAAAAACTTAGCAAACTAGGAATAGAAAAGATTTTAATCTGATTAAGGGTACCTGTGAAAAACCTATATCAAAATTTACAATCAGTGGTGAAACTTTAGCAGTATTTTCTTTGAAGTTATTCCAGTTATTATTAATAAGATTTGTATTAGAGTCTTAACCAATGTATAATACTAAAAAATAAAAAGCATTAAGGATTAGAAAGTTAAAAAAAAAGCTGTCATTCACAGGTGATATAATTTCTGCATAGAAATCCCAAAAAGAATCTGGAAAATTATTAAGTTAATATTAATGAGTAAAGATAATAAATAATGAATTTCAGCAAGTTTGCTGGATATATGAATAATAAATAAAATTAATTATATTCAATATAGCAGCAATAAAAATGATGACATATATAACAACGAAATATAAAAAGTCCTAAGAGGCAAATCTAAATTTGTGTGACCTTTAAGGAGAAAAATATAAAAATGTATAAGCATCATTAAAGAAGACATAAAGAAATGGAAAATGTAACAGATTATGGATAGAAAGGCTCGGTCTCTCAAAGATGCATTCTTTTCCAATTAATCTATAAAATCAATTCAATTCCAATAAAAAACTGGCAAGGATTTTTATGTCTCAAAAATTTGATTCTAAGGTTTAGATAAAAGAATGAAGGATGGAGGAAAACAAGACAATTTTGAAAGCAAAAAGGGAGAAGGCTTGACTTACCACATAATAAGGTTTTCTATAAAGCTATAATAATTAAGGCAGGGTGATGATGCACAGATAGAAAAATAAACCAATGGAACAGAATAGGGTGCTCAGAAACAGACCCTGGCTTATGTGGAAAGCTGATATATGTCAAATGGCACTACAGATGAGTAGTGACAGGATAGATTCTTCATCAAATGCTACTAGGACGATTAATTATCTGAGTGGAGAAAAATGCAATTGATTCTCTATCTCACAGCAT